GAACTGGGCATGCCCCCTTGTCTGCCACATGGTGATGAGGGAGAGGGAAAAATGCCCTCCCCTACCCCATTGACACCTACAGCAGAAGAGTGGGCAACACAGTAAAGCTGACCCCATCGACGGGGGGCAGGGGCATGGGTGAGCTGACTTGGGGAGGCCCCACCCTCATCTGCCATAGGTGGTATGGGCTCGGGGAAAGCCCCTCCACCTTCTGTACTTGTGGCAGGTGGGAGAGCTGGCCCTGCCTCTCACCAGTTGCAGCACTTGGCAAAGTGTACCTTGCCCCTCACCTGGAAACGCAGTAGAGCTTGCCCTGGTGGTGTAGGTGTGGGCAAGATGGCCTGAGGACATGGAAGCAGGAGAACCAGCCCTGCCCCTTGCTGCCTACTGCATTGGTGAGCCAGCAGCTAGCATGGGGCTTCGCTAGAGAGCTCATCCTGGTGTAGAAGATTCGGAGAGCTGGTGGACTGACCAGCCTAGCAATATTGATAGTGTGGCAGAAACCAGGGGCCTCAAACTACCAACGACTCATTGCAATGAACACTTGCAAATAAAGATATGTGGCCAAAAGGGTTTCGTGTGTCACACTGCAGCTTCCATGATAAGATTTTTCTTCTTTTCTCTTTTTAATTTTATTTTGTTTTATCTTGGGAGGGAGGGTGCAAGGGAGCAGATGTGAAGGGATGGAAAGATGAATGTGATTGAGATGCATGCTGTGAAATCCACAAAGAATCAATAATATGTTAAATGAGGGAGGGAATTCTACATTTTTATTCAATATACTCAAGCAGCAGATGAAAGTCATCAGGCAGTCATGTCAGATCTAACAAATCATTTGTATGTAACACAAACTGAACTACAAAGAAGGCAAAAGCCACCACTTTTCTCCTTTTGTATGTGGACAACTCTGTAGGTCACCACATACTGACAGGAGTAAGGCATATTTCTTATCATTATTTTATTTTAGAATAGATTGGTTGTTCAGAGGCATAATTTGTAAAGCAAAATAACCAAATTAAATGAGCTGTATGTGTTGTCAAACTTAAGCTTGAAACAAGTAAGTCAAAACAAATTTAAAGTAAACTTAAAATTTGTTTAATATTCAGTAATACTCAAATTAGGTATATTTTTAGAAAATGGATATAAATTGATCTCTTTCTCTAAGCAACTGGAAACCTCATTTTACTTTTCCTTTTAAAATTTGCTTTTACAAAAATGCCAAGTTTTTTTATATGACTCATTTTTTTATATGACTCAATTTCAAAACAAACCATCTTGGAAGACTGGTGTTAACTCCTTAGTCTAATAAAAGGGAGATACAATAATAAGCAGAGGGCTCAGTGGGTCTAGTTCAGTAATGCTGCAGCCCTTTAATACAGTTCCTCATGTTGTGGTGACCTCCAATCATAAAATTGTTTTTGTTGCTACTTAATAACTATAAATTTGCAATTATTATGAATCATAAGTGTGTATTCCAATAGTCTTGGACCACCCCTATGAAAGGGTCATTTGACACCCCCAAAGGGGTTGGAGCCCACAGATTGAGAACTGCTGGTCTAGTTGATCTATGGGTACTGCCTTAGTTGATTCATATCATGTAGTTGCCTTAAACAAGATGACGGTGAAGTCATATGGCATGCCCTTTCTTTAGCTTTAGTAAAGATAATGACTGAGTCACTGGCTGCCAGCAAGCCATGTGGTTGTTGTTTACTCCAGGTGATCAACCAAGATGATGGCAAGCCACATGATACTCCAGGGTGAGCCCATCAGACACATACTCATTTCCTAAACAAGAGTAGGATCCAAATTACATACACGGTATGCTAGAGCAAATTAAGATTATCTGTATAGAGACTCTTAACTATTAACCCTCTTGTTATAGATTTTAAGCAAACCTTTTCTGATTGGCATTTTTAAACCTCACAGATTTTGAGTTAAAGTTTATACTTTAGCAAAAGTTTTAGAAATATAAGAGGTGGAGTTTTTAAGCATTAAATAAAACCAAGAAAAGGAGTGTGAGATAAGCAACAGTATTCTCTGCTGTGGGTAGTTTACCATTTAGGTATTTCTAAGCATATGGCATCTTCTCCTAGGCTGTTCTATTTTGATATCCTTTCCCCTAGGGTGAGACCAAGCCCTCCCCCCACACACACACACACCTCACAGTGACCTTTTAAAATAATATAACACATAGTACTCAAGACCCAGGATGGGAAATCTGAACCTACCAGTGCTTGTGTCTGGGGCAGATGGGCAGTCACTGTGAAGAGCATAGATACCCCCCCCTTTTCTCCTCTAGCAGAGAAGTGGGGGGGGGTACGTTTCGAAATAAGACAAAAGTAGTCTGTCTTTAACAAGATCCTCCTCCCTGGAAGAAGCTATTTAAGCTAACCAGTCTGGGGGATGGGGGCATGGACTTTGGCTCTCCTTTGCTAACCTGTTCCACCTAAAGCCAGGCAGGTGGCCTGGATGGGTACTAAAATACATGGAGAAAGTTTTCAGTCCTAAATACAAGCTCACAAAAAGCCCAAGACCTAGTCACAAGACTGGAGTTTTGCCAACCCCACTACCACTACCAAAGGACCATTTGGCCATGGTTCCTTTTGCCTGTTACATTTATCTATTTATCAAGAAAAAAATCATGCCAGGTTGTGGTGGTGCACACCTTTAGTCCGAGTACCTGGGAGGCAGGGAAGTTTGAGGCTAGCCTGGTCTACAGAGTGAGTTCAGGACAGCCAGAACTATGCAGAAAAACCCTATCTCGAGAGAGAGAGAGAGAGAGAGAGAGAGAGAGAGAGAGAGGGGAAAGGAAGAAAAGAAAAAAGGAAGAAAAAAATGTGAATGAAAATTCCTGAGAAGAAGCTGTGTCTACCTGTGAACAGAAAGGGGAGTTTTGTGTCTGGAGAGACTGATTGGCCCATTGGAATTTCAGAACTCCGGAGAGTTGGAATATTGTAGGTCCAGAGGTTAATTATCTTATTTTAGCCCTCTAGAATAGCCTTTCTTCATCCTCTGTTTTTGAACTTTTATTGATTTAGCAGGCAACTAGCTTCTACCAATCCAAAAGCTAAGAGTGCCATCAGATAGCATCATGAGCCCATAGGAGTTTCTCCATCTCAGTGTACCTGCCTCTCTGATGTACCCTCTGATTCATTGCCTTGATTTATAACTTTCTCTTTCTTGTAAAAACAATAAAAATTCCATGAAACTGTTTTCCACATTGGAACATAAAATTTGGGGTAACCTAAATCAGTATTCTAGGGCCAAAGTCACTCAAAATGGCTCCAGTGTAAACTATCTCTTATTCCCTTAAGAAGAAAGATGTAGTTTTTGCATTGTCACAAAACATATGAAAAGGTAGAAAATAAGTTTTAAGAGATAGAAAATAGCAGAATGAGATTCAGATGCAATCACCAAATCAAAAATTTAAAGCAGTTATGATCAGAATGCAGATAAAGTAGACTCATGCCCAAACATATGGGCAATATAAGTAGAAAGGAAAGCATTCTAAAAGAACTAGAAATAAATGTTAGAAATTTAAAACTGTAGCAAGCAAAGACTGTTCTTTATGAGCCTGTTGTTAGAGCAGACATAGCTGAGGAAACAGTCTCTAAGCTTAAAGACTTACAGAGATTTCTAAACATGAACAGGGGGAAGACTAGAGAGAAAACAAAGGCAGACAAAACAGAAGAAAGCATAGTTGTGTGTTGTTTAAAGAAAAAAGTCAGTCTAAAATGTCTGTGTATTATAGGAGTCCAACTATATGGCATTCTGGAAAAAGTAAAACTATAGAATCAATGAAAAGGTCAGAGATAACCAAAAACATGAGGACTGCAGATGGTGACAGGTGAGGAGGTAGGGCACAGGAGACTTTTTAGGGCCGTGAAAATACTCTGAATGGTACTGTAATGTGCATACATATCACCCTACATTTCTCCAGAACTGTAAAACAAAGCCTCAGTAGTGGACTCTAATGAAAACTATGGCATTTGGGCAATAATGATGTCAAAGTAGATTTATCAGTTTTAATAGATAGCCCCTTGGGCGTGAGCTGATGATAATGGGAATGGTTATGCATGTATAGGGGGAGTGATGATATGGGGAATTTGTACCAACCACTCAGATTTTGTTTTTATAAACCCAAAACAAAAGTATCCTTTTTACTTATATCTTCCAAAAGAGGTGATAAATAATTGGTATAATTTCTTCCTTAAATGTGTGGTAGAACTCACTAGTTAGAATTATTTGCCTGATAATTTATGTTCAAGAACTAATCATTGAGTCAATTATTTCTTTTTCTTTTTCAAGATCAAGTCTTGCCATGTTGCCCATGCTGGCCTTGAATTCCTGGGCTCAAGCAATCTTTCCCCTACATCAGTGCTCCAAGTAACTAGGACTACAGGCATATACTAGGAAGCCCAGCTTCTTAAACAGAAAACAGGCTGATTGGCTATTTGTTCTTTGAGTGTGGCAGATTGTAACTTTTGAGGAATTTCATCTAGGCTACCACAATTTTGGACACAGAGTTGCATTTTATTATCATCTTAATGTTGATGAGATCTATAGCAATATACCCTCTTTCATTTCTGATACTAGTAATTTAGATGCTCTTTTTTTCTTAGCCTGTATATAGTGTTATTAATTTTATTGATCATTTCAAGGAACCAGATATTAATTAGGTTCAGTAATTTTTCTCTAGATTTCATGTTTTCAATTTTATTGACTTAATCCAGTGTTTTTAGTCTTATACTTACTTTGTGTTTAATTGCTACTATTTTTCTAGTTTCCTAAGGTGAAAATTTATATTATTGATTTTAGATCTTCTTTCTTAATATATTATGTATTTAATGCTGTAAACTCCCCTCTAACTACTATTTTAACGGCACCTCACCAATTTAGATGTGCTGTTCTCATTTTCATATAGTTAAGGTTTTCTTTTAATTATTTAATTCCTTCCTGACTCATATGTTATTTGGAAATATACTATTTGGTCTGGCAAGATGGCTCAGCAGGTATATATGGTTGCTGCCAAGAATAAGGATTCAAGTTCAAACCTCACAACCCACATGGTAAAAGAAGAGAACTGACTCCCACAAGTTGTTCTCTGACCTATGTATATAAGCCATGGCACACACAAATAAATAAGTAAGCTTTTTTTTTTTTTTTAGTAAGAAAGAGGCATATTATGTAACTTAAACTTATTTTTCAGTCATCTTTCTTTTCCTTATTTCCACAGTGGTTTGAAAACATTCATTACATGATTTCTATTCTTTTAAATTTGTTAAGGTAGGTTTCATGGCCTAAATGTTTCTATCCATTAATGTTCTATAAGACCTTCAGATGAATTTATTCTGCTACTATAGAATGAAAAACTCCATAGCTGTCAGTTATATTCAATTGATTGATGGTGGTATTGAGTTTAACTATGATCTCTAACATCCAGCCTCTAAGATCTGTCCATTTCTGATAACAGACTTTACAGTTTCCAATAATAACATACAGTACAGTCATCTTCTAGCAATTTTATCATTTTTTGCCTTGTGTTATTTGATGCTTTTGTTAGGTATATACACATTGAATTTGTTGTCTTTGGGGAAAATGTACCTTTTCATCATTCAGTTACCTTGCTGATCTCAGTACCTTCTTTCTTCTATCTGAAAGTAATGTGGCTGCTCTTGTTTCTTTGGTGTTGGTGAGTTACATCTTTATAGTCCAGTTATCTTTCATCTGTTTGAGTCTATATTTTATATGAACATCTCTTAAACAGCACATAGTTTAGTCCTGTTACTTAGTAACTGATACATTTATACCTTTAATATTAAAGTGATTATTGAGGTGGATTACTAACATATTTGTTACCATTTTCTGTTCATTGTCTGTTTTTGTCTCTTTTCCTGCCTTTTGCAGTTTTAAATAGGCATTGATTAGATTTCTCCCCCTTTCTTCCCCCTTCTGTAGTATATCATTTAGATTTCCTTCACTTTGGTAATAGTTATTTTCTTCCTCTCTACCAAACTTCTTTTTGGTATTTCTTTTTCGGCGAGCCTGTTAGCAACAAATGCAATATTGTCTGAGAAAATCGTGGCTGCTTCTTTCTTCACTTTAGAAGAGTAGTTTTTCAGGTTGCAGAATTCTTGGGTAGTGGCATTTTTTTCTCTCACCTGTTTAAATAGTTTATGCCATGTGTCTTGTTTCCATGGTTTCTGAAAAGATGTAATTCTCTTTCTTTTTTAAAGTTTTTAAAGTTTTTTTTTTTTTTTTTTGCTATGCTGGGCTGCATAAGACTGTTTTCATGAAAGCTTGTAATGTATTTTGAGCATGAAGCTATTCTTATCATCATTCCTCTGCACTCAGGCAATTTCCTTCTTCCATCCTCTGGGTTCTTTCAGTATTTACTCATTACTTTGATTTTCTTTGGTTTAAAATATAGCTAACTTGAGGCTGGGGAGAGATGACTCAGGGATTAAGAGCATTCATTGTCATTGCAGAAGACTAGGCTTGGTTCTCAGCACCCATGGTTGTGGTGCACAACTGTCTGTAACTCCATTTCCAAGGGATCCAGTACCCTTTTCTGAACTACTATGGCGTGCTTGTGGTACAAATGCATACATGCAGATGAAATACAATACAAATAACATAGATCTTTTTAAAATATGCCTAAATGCTGGGTGTAGGGGCCAACGCCTTTAATCCCAGCACTTGGGAGGCAGAGGCAGGGAGATCTCTGTGAGTTCGAGACCAGCCTGCTCTACAGAGCTAGTTCCAGGACAGGCTCCAAAGCTACACAGGAAAACCCTGTCTTGAAAAACAAAACAAAACAAGCCTAAATGTTGGGTGGTGGTGGTGTACACCTTTAATTCCAGCATTTACGAGGCAGAGGCAGGCAGATCGGAGTCTGAGGCCAGCCTGCTCCAGGGCTACACAGACAAACCCTGTCCCAAAAACAAAACAAACAAACCAAAAAGATACACATATGTATCTAAATGTAATTTTGATATCTTTAGTTTGTTTGGGGCATTTCTGCTGCCTGGTGTTCCCTGTGGATCTTGTTTTGGTGTCTGATATTAAGAACTTTTCAGTCACTATTATTTCATAGATTTTTGGTTTTCTTTGTTGTTGTTGTTCATTGTTTTCTCTCTCTTGGTATTCCCATTATACATGCTATTTCTTGTGTACTCATTTCACAGTTCTTGGATATTCTATTCTGGTTTATTCGGTCTTTGTTCTACTTGATATTCAGTTTTAGAGGTTTCTAGTGATAGATGTCTGTGCTCAGAAATTCTTTCCCTAGCCATTTCAAGTCTTCTAATAAGGCTATGTATATATTTATATATAGTGTCTAAATCCTGTATTAAATTATAAGCTCCTTTAAGATGAAATTTGCATTTGTTTTAATTTTATTTTCTTTATAACAGATAGTAAAATTCTATACAAGAAATAAAATAAATATTACAGTATGATGAAATAAATGCCAATAAAAGGTAAAATTCAAGAGCTAGATGAATCAATTCTATTATGACATTTTTCAGCCAATTGCATAACTGTATTTTTACTAGAAGTATATTAATATTTGGTCAAGTCATTCGTGAAATCTCATTTACCCCTAACAATCCAATTAGAACCTGTCATTAAGTCTTGCTTGTTGAATACATTTCTGAGTACATAAGGCAGCAGTTCTCAATTTGTGGATTGCAGCTCTTTTGGGGGTCACATATCAGATATCCTGCATATCAGTTATTTACATTACAATTCATAACAGTAGTGAAATTACAGTTAGGAAGTATCAACAAAATAGTTTATGGTTAGGGACCACCACACCATGAGGAACTGTATTAAAGGGTCATGGCATTAGGAAGGTTGAGAACCACTGATGAGGGAACAATTCTGATGAGACATGCTAAATAGGGCATTTATCTTGAAAACTAATGGCAACTCTCCATCATGATGCTAGTACAATACTGAAGAACACATCAGGCAAATGACGGTTTTACATGTTTTTTCATTTTCCTTTTAAATTTTGTTTAGTTTTGTCTCTAGCACTGGTCTGAACCCAGGACCTTACACCTACTGAACTGCTGAGCTACACCATGAGTCACAGTTTCCCTTCTGGGTAGAAAGAATAATTGAATATGTCATAAGCATTTTTCTTTATTCATTAAGTAACTTTTTTCATCTTTCTCTCATGAGTGGATCAAGTCCTAATGTTGTAAAAATATCCAACATCTGTCAGAGGAAAGCACCAACCACCTACAAAGGCAGAAACACCAAAGTAAGAACAGATCTGTTGTCAGCTACCCAGATGCTAAGGAGTATTTTCCTTAGCACCACATTTTCCTCCCAATTTGATCTACTCTTTTTCTATTTCAAACCTACTTCGTCCACTTAGTGCTGCCAGTTTGTAAATAGTGTATGGCTATCCCCCGGAGCATGGGCATCCTGTCAGGGCTTGTATCCCTGAAGAAAACTGACACTGCTTCAGTCAGCAGCTTTCGTTTTTTCAAGACAGGGTTTCTCAGTGACTTTCGAGGCTGTGCTGGAACTCACTCTCGGCTGGCCTGGAACTCACAGAGATCCGCCTGCCTCTGCCTCCCGGGTGCTGGGATTAAAGGCATGCGCCACCAAAGCTGCTAGTCAGCAGCTTTGAATTGCCTGTACTTCTTGGCTGGGTAGAGTTGGGACCTCATGGGCCCCTCCCAATCCTGCTGGAATTTGGGCTGGCTTGATCTGGTACTTGAGGTCACAGAAACTGTGAGTTCATATGAACATGTTTTTTAACTTCTCAGTGCTTTAATGATTTTATAGATGATCTGTATTTCATGTAAAATAGTTTATCTGCATTTGAGTTCATTTTATAGATAACACTATCCACAATGAGGTGAACAAACTCTATAATACTTTGGAGATTAGCAATACAAGTCCTTGTACTTCTTAGTTAACTCTCCTCCATCCTCCCCCAGTAGCATCTTCAATTTCTCCAGTACTGCAAATACCTCCCCACTTCAGGGACTTTGCACACGATGTTCTATTAGTTAAGGAAATCATTAGATGTCATTTCCATTGGAATTGCTGATAAATTTTATAGAAAACAGTATGTTTGTTTTGTTGCTGTTTTAAAAGTCTATTTGTAAACTTGTGGCTTTTTTTTGCCACAAATAGTATAAAAACTAAGATTGGTGCTATCAACATGTTTAATTATCTCAGTTTTTCATAGTAGAAAAAAGTCCCTCATTACATTACCAAGAAGTTTCAAACAACCAGCATTTATAAAAACTGGAAACTAGAGCTGGAGAGATGGCTCAGAGGTTAAGAGCACTGGCTGCTCTTCCAGAGGTCCTGAGTTCAATTTCCAGCAACCACATGGTGGTTTACAACCATCTGTTATAAGATCTGGTGCCCTCTTCTGGTGTGCAGATATACATGGAAGGCAGAATGTTGTATACATAATAAATAAATAAAATATTTTTTTAAAAAAACCTGAAAACTAAATTCTGTGCCAGTCCTTCCTTTTCAATGTAAACCCCTTTTGCAAGTTCATTGCAGAAGGCAAGGTTCCCGAGTAGTTCTCTCTCCCACCACTCTGCCTTTTCATTCTAGGGATTCTTCAGCAAGCGCCTGAAAGGTTCTATCAAGAGGACCAAAAGCCAGTCAAAGCTTGACAGAAACACAAGCTTTCGACTTCCATCCCTTCGAAGTGCAGATGACAGGTAGGATATGACTTGTTTAAAACAAAGACATCAGATACTGGAGTGCAGTATTTACTTATTTTGAGATAATGTCTCAGTATGTAGCTTTAATTGGCCTGGAATTTGCTATGTAAACTAAGTTGGCTTTGGATTACAGAAACTCAACGGCCTCAGCTTCTCAAGTGCTGGGATTAAAGGTATGCACCCCCTTGTTAGCATAAAGTGGCTTTTGACAAGGCTCTTGAACTTTCTGTACCTTTGTATCAGTGGCAGAATGAACCAGAACAAAATTTGCTTTTTGTCTTGCTCATATTGAGACAAGGTACAAAATGTTGGCTCAGTAGTCAACCAGTGTAAAATGCATATAAATACAAGAGAGTGGAGAGAAACAAGTTTTTAAGATCAGATATACTGTTACTGTAAAGTCAAGTTCTTCTGGTTCTAGGTAAATTCTTTTTCTTCAGTCAACTCTAAGGGGATAACAGATGATAACTGGAAAATGTTTTAGTACTGTACTTGATACATATGATTATCTTATTCAGTCTCCATAATAACCTCATATGATAAACATGTTCTTATGATTATAGATAAAGAATGTGATGCATGGAGATATTAAGTAATGTTGTCCAAGATCACACATTTGGTAAATAGCAAAAATGATACTTTCCCATGGGCATTTTCCTAGCATACATGCTTTTTGCTACAATACGGTTCTAGTGTGTAGCATAGAAAATTAGTCTTGGCGGTTGTGTCACTTGTAGAAGACACATTTTTTAAAATAATTGCAAGGATTTTAGTAGTTAGAACTGCTAACTTAGTAAATTTTGCATGTTTAACTCTCTAAAGATAATATCCTTTTGAAATAATAGAGTATATGCTCAATCCCATCTTAATTTCTCATAGCATTGATAGTTTTGGGAATGGAACTGCTGTGTCAACAACTCATTGCCATCACCAGTGCTTGCTGAGTGCTCGGTATGCACCAGCTTTCCCATGAACTGCTTTGTGTACTACAACCCTGGGTGCTGTTGTCACCCTCACTTTGTAGTTGAGGAACTGGAGGAAGAGAGACTGAGAAACTGTCCAGAGTTAAGCAAGTAGTAGAGCTAGATTGAAACTTGTCTGTCCTTCATATTTGATACTGTTATTTTACTTGAGGATTTAGGGTTAATTTTTTTTCTAATTACACTGTTTTCTGTCACCTTAATAGATTTGCTAGGCAGAGAATTTTCAGTTTTATTTTAAAATTGTTTCCATATTGAGTTTTATCATATATTCTTATCTGTGGACCATGTAGAAAATAGTGAAATTTAAAAGTCTGTCTAGATGTACCCATAGGGACTGGACTCCACAACTCTATATTTCATTGGTTGTGTTTTTCTGTAATGATCTCTGTCTGTTGCAAAAAGTTTTCTTGATGAGGGGTGAGGACCGCAGTTATCTGTGAATATAAGGACAAATAGTTAGAAATAATGAGGAATATTATGGTTTAGCAAAGTGGTTGTTGTCAGTTCTCCAAGATCCATGGTTTCACTCGCTCTGGTAGTTGCCTGGGTTCCCAGTGCCAGTCTCCCTCTTGTTGAGGGGGCTTGAGTCCAAATAGAGAGCTGTTGGTTACTGCTAAGGTGTGTGTGCCGCTACTGCACTCTTATCGTTATCAGGGTGGTAAGAGCCAAAGGATCAGGGAGTTTTCTGTGGGAAAGATCAAATGCTACACCCACAACATTTCATTCACATGAGTGCCCAAACATAAGTTAATCAAAGGCAACAACAATAGACATTCCGGGTAGTCAGAGACACCACAAGGCCTCAGCCCTACACAAAGAATTGCAGACAGCTAAGGAATGCTGAGGCCTGGAGAAACAGTCTTACCCAGTGGAGAGCACACTAATTAGTCATCCTGTATCAGATGGTCAGCCTTGAAAACATACATACAAGTTACATTATGTATGTAGACCAAGCAGGGTGGGTGTGTGTGTGTGTGTGTGTGTGTGTGTGTGTGTGTGTGTGTGTGAATTAATGAAAAATGAGGTCATGGATTTGAAAGAGCTAGGAGGAGTATATGGGAGAGTTTGAAGGGAAGAAGAGAGAAATGATGTGATTATATTATAATCTCAAAAATAAAAGATAAACATTTTAGAGAAAGGAGGGCAGAAAAGATGGCTCAGCAGTTAAGAACACTGGCTGCTCTTCCAGAGGTCCTGAGTTCAATTCTCAGCAACCACATGTTAGCTCACAACCATTTTTAGTGGTACCTGAGTGTTCAGTGTTCAGATAGAACACTCATATACATTCAATCAATCAGTCTTTTTTTTTTTTTTAAGAGGGAGAGAGAGGAAAGGAGAAAGGAAAAAATAGTTGGACTTAGAATTCACTATGTAGCCATTTTCACAATATTAATTCAGCCAGCCCATGAGTATGGAGGTCTTTCCACCTTCTAGTATCTTCTTCAGTTCCTTTTTCCAGTGTTAAATTTTTTCATTATAGATACCTTGCATTTCTTTGGTTAGATTTATTCAAAGCTTATGGTATGGTTTAGTTTGGTTTGGTTTGAAGCAATTGTGAATGGGATTGTTTCTCTGATTTCTTTTTCAGTACATTATTAGTATATAAGAAGGCTGCTGGGTTTTGCATGTTAATTTTGGATCCTTCTATTTTACTAAACATGTTTAGCAGATTTAAGTGTTTTCTGGTAGAGTCTTTAGGGTCCCTTATGCATAACATCATATTATCTACAAGTAAGGATACTTTGGCTTCTCTCTCTCTCTCTCTCTCTCTCTCTCTCTCTCTCTCTCTCTCTCTCTCTGTCTCTCATTCCAGCTATGACTTCAGTGATTACTGAATAAGAGTAGAGACTGGAAACCCTTGCCGTCTTTCTTTATTTTAGTCGAAATACTTTCAAATTTTTCTTCATTTTATGTTATACATAGTGTAGGGATACCAACACCTGTACCAATAACCAGCCTTTATTATCTTGAGATACATTCCTTCTAATCTTAGATTTCATTGAGATGATGATGCAATTTTATATCAAATACTACAATCTTTCATTTGCATATGTTTCATTACAGCTCTTGTAATGAAACCAATGAATGATCCTTTTGATGTGTGGAATTCAGTTTGCAAGTGTTTGTGTATAATTTTTGTACCTATATTTATATATCAGGAAGATTGTATTTTGTTATTGTTGTTGTCTTTATTTGGTGTTGGTATTAGGTAATACTTGGCTAGTAGAAAGAATTCAGTACATATCCTTCTGTGTTTTCTATTTTATGGAGTAGTTTGAGAAGCATCAGTGTTAGTTCTTCTGTATAGGTCTGGTAGAGTTTGTATCCATCTGGGTCTGGACTGCTTTTAGCTGGGGAATGTGTTATTACTGCTCTAATCCCATTGCTTGTTACAAATGTGTTCAAGTTGTTTTTCTTGTCTTGATTTAATTTGAGTAGGTCATATGCATCTGAAAATTTATCTCTGCATTTCACATTTTCCAATTTAGTTTAATTTAAGTTTTTAAGGTATGTCCTTATGATTTTTAAAATTTCTTCTGTGTCTGTTGTAATGCATCCCTTTGGATTTCCTTTTTTTACTGTTTAGATTTATTTATTTTGTGTATCACATTTGTACAAAAACCTGCAGAGGCCAGAGGAATTCCCTCTTGGTACTTTTGCTCCCCTTGGAACTGAAGTTTCAAGTTAACCGCATGTGGGGGCTGGAAATCAAACCCAGGTCCTCTGCAGAAGCAGTTGTTGCTCTTGACTGTTGAGTCAGCTCTCCGTCCCCTTTAATTTTATTAAACAGGATCTTCTCTCTCTTGTGGTGAGTTTAACAATTTTTTTTGTTGATCTTTTATATCTTTTCAAAGAACTATCTCATCCTTTCATTGATTCTGTCTGTCTGTCTGTCTGTCTGTCTCTCTCTCTCTCTCTCTCTCTCTCTCTCTCTCTCTCTGTGTGTGTGTGTGTCTGTGTGTGTCTGTGTCTGTGTCTGTGTGTGTCTGTGTGTGTCTGTGTGTGTTCATCTCATTACTTTTCTGCATACATCTTACTTTAAAATGAGTCTTAGCTTGTTCTTGATTTTCCAGAGCCCTAAGGTACACTGTTATTTATTTGAGAACTCTCTGATTTGTTTTACAATGTAGGTAGTTTTAGCTGTAAACTTTCCTCTTAGATCTGCTTTCATTGAATCCTATAGTTTCTGGTATGTTGTGTTTTAATTTTTATTCAATCCTCGGAGTATTTTTTCCTTCTTGATTTCTTCAATTGCCTGTTAATAATTCAAAGGTTTATTATATGATCCTCATGAATTTGTATATGTTTTGGAATTCTTGCTGATACTTAGTTTAAATTCCACTATGTTGGCATAGAATACAATGTCATTTTAATATTTCTGTATTTGATGCTATTTGATTTGTGTCTTGTTGCATTGTCCATTTTGGAGAACGTTCTGTGGGCTTCTGAGAAGAATATTGATTCTTTAGTGTTGGGATGGAGTTCTACAGATAACTGTTAGTCCCATCTGACTTTTATTATTTAGCTCAATGTTTCTGTTTATTTTTGGTCAGGACCTCCTGTCAGTTGGTGAGAGTGGGGTATTAAAGTCACCCAGTATTATTATGTTACAGTTAATGTATGGATTTATATCTAGTATTTGTTTTATGGAATTGGGTGCACCCATGTTGGGTGCATGTTCTAGCTTGTCCAGCTCTCTGATGCTATGAAAAGGACACTGATCAAAACCAGCTTTTGGGAGTACAGTGTTTATTGCAGCTTTTACTTTACAGTCCATCTCTGAGGGAAGCCGGGCCAAGAACTCAAGGTAGGAACCTGGAAGCAATAACTGAATCAAAAGCCATGGAGAAGTGCTGCTTACTAGCTGGCTTTCCATTGCTTGCTCAGCCTGCTTTCTTATACTTACCAGAGGAAATAAACATTCAGTATTTTAGGTTATGCATAAAAGTCTGTTTTTTGTCTTAAAATTTACACTAGATGCTTAATTATGAACACTAATAAAACTAGAAAAAT